CTTTATCTATGATAAATTTACTATTAAAAAAATATCACACCATTGTAGGATATTGAAAACAACATATTATAGTTCGATCTGTAAACATTACCGGCCAACTGTTGTGTATATGAGTAAAATCGTATAAAGCCTATACATAAAAAAAAAAACGAATATTTTACTTTAAAGCGTGTATACCTATACACCTTAAATAACCGATAAGCAAATATGAAAAAAACAAAATGGGTTTTCATAATTCCCTTCAAGAATAGAATATAAACGAAAAAAAAAATAATACGAAATAAAATTTTTTAATTTTTAATAAAATAAATGAAAATATTATTATATGCTTAATGTTCCATTTTTAACACAATGTTAATAGACCCTTTTGATCACTAAGCTAAATAGGGCATAGTGTTGACAAGGAGGTCACAGGTTTAAAAGAATTATAGAACAATATAGTTCTTTATTTTTCAGTATTGTTTTTGTACCATGATTCTTTTTAGACATCTGTTTCTTAGTATGTTATTTTTTTAAAACTCCAACATATTACCGTCTCTTCGGTTTTGTGAATCCGTGTTTCGAATGACACACTTCTAGATCTATTATGTATCCAAATGTTTATAAATATTTTCTGAGGAATAGGGAAAAACAAAAAACAACTTACAAAACATGCATTTTTTAGTATTTACACAACACTACAAAACCGAATATTTTACTTTAAAGCGTGTATACCTTACACCTTAAATAACCGATAAGCAAATATAAAAAAACAAATTGTGTTTTCATAATTCCTTTCAAGAATAGAATATATACGAAAAAAAAAATAATACGGAATAAAAATTTTTCATTTTTATTAAATAAATGAAAAGATTATTATATGTTTTATGTTTCATTTTTTAACACAATGTTAATAGACCCTTTTGATCACTAAGCCCTATTAAATAGCCCTAAAAAATGATAAAAACGAGTAAAAATATTTTCTTTATTTTGATATTTTAAGTGTAGTAAAGCACAAAAATCGGAAAATAAATTTTAAAAGAACATCTGCTGTGACCCTATTACAATAACCTGGTTTGATCAGTAAACAATACCGACCAACTATTGTATACATACATGTGTAATATCATGTTTTTCAAATCGCGTTATAACGATAATACTAAAATCTAAAGAACTTTTTTTTATTTATGAAATATGATTATATATTAATAAAATTAATATAGGTTTAATTAGGAAAAAACAATACTATATATTATTACAGTTTATTTTTATAAAACCTTAATAATTTTCATTAGAAACTCCTAAAACTGAAGTAAGAATATAAGGAAGCATTTCCAGTATCGTTATATAACTGGAGAATTGTTTTTTTCTAATAAAATCTATAATAATTTTATTATATAGTAATATTTTAGGTATAAAGCAATAATATCATAGTTTTTATAAAGGTTATAATGTGATTTGAAAAACATGATTTTACTCATATACACAACAATTGGTCGGCAATGTTTACAGATCGAACCATAATATGTTGTTTTTAATATCGTAAAACAGTTTTATATTACATTAACTGAAAAATTTGTGCTGCAAATTTATTAAAGATAAAATCTATTATAATGCATATAATATTAAAGGAATCAAGATTTGAGTCATCTAGTATAATATAATAAACTATTGTGGTTTGTTCTATAAAAGTCTTAATTGAAAACCTATACCCTTTTTCCGTTTAAAAATTTAAATAAAATATTTTTCAACTTTAATTGTATTTTTCAGTATTGTTTTTTGTACCATGGTTATTTTTAGACATCTATTTCTTAGTATGTTATTTTTTCAAACCTTCAATATATTACCATTTACCATCTATATATTTTTTGTAAATCCGTGTTTCGAATCCGTGTCAAAACAACACCTGCTGTGACCCTATTACAATAACCGGGTTCGATAGGTAAACAATACTATATGTCTTTGTGAATCTGTGTTTCGAATGACACACTGCTAGTTCGATTATGTATTCAAATGTTTGATGAATATTTTCTGAGGAATTTGTACAAACAAAATCAAACTAAACAAAACATGTATTTGTTATTATTAACAAAACACTAGGCAGCCAAGCCAATATAAGAAGAAAAAAATAGTAGGTATCTAATAGTATTCCAGTTACTTCCAAAGGCAAACGACAGTCATTTTTCATATATAGTAAAAATGCGTTTTTTGTACGTTGTATTGTTGCTCGTAGCAGTTCTAACAAAGTTCTCAGGTATTTAAATAAATTTAAATTTTGTAATTCCGTATAAATATAAACCACTTAAATATAACAAAATTATTTTGTTTTACAGTGGCACCTGGGTCTGGTAAGTTGTTTTCTTTGTTTACTAAAAAAAATCATACAAATCATTCTAAAGCGTTTACTGAGTAATTTAAAAGTATATTATTTTTAAAAGAACTATTAATAAGATATTAATTTTTTAAACCCAAAACAATGTTTGCAGCATTTATAATATGTGTTCGTACAAGTTATGTCTCATCATTACAGTTTACAAGGTCTCATCATAATTGGTCGGTAATGATCATACGGCTAGAACCAAAATTTTGATCCGATATTGTACAAGTGTACTCATAAATCGAATTTCATAGTTATAGAATTTTGTATGAATATCAACCACTTAAATATAACAAAATTCTTTTGTTTTTCAGAGTCAGATGGGTCTTGGGCAAAAGGAAGACGTAAGTTTTTTGTTTTACTAAAAGAATCATACAATTATTTTCAAAGCATACATTTGAGTAATTTTATAGAATATTATTTTTAAGCGAATTATCACTTAGGTATTTATAATTAGTATTTATAATATAAACAATAGTAATGCCTCGTCCTTAAGTATACAGTAGTCTGGTGAACAAAGTCGATTTAGTCATAATGATTTCCTTTATTTGCATATTTAAGATGACTTTTTAAGATCGCCAACAATAATACTTACTCAAATGCATTTTTCGTACATTATTGTGGTGCTAGTAGCATTGTTAACGCACTCGGGTGTATATAAAAAACAATATTTTTTTAAATTTTTTATTAATACTAGCCAATAAAATATAACAATTTCATTACTCACCACTACCTTTTTTTTTACAGCTGCTTATGAACTAAAAGAACCACCACCGGGTAAGTTATTTTCATTGTTTTACTAAAAAAAGCATACAAATCAGTTTTGAGTCGTTAGATACCAATAAAACTAGAGGAGTTTATATGAAGGTAGGTACAGGAGAAAAAACAGCAAATTTCCTTTACATACCAATATATAATCAAGTATTATATAATGGTTTGGTGAACAAAATCAATTGATAAATAGTCATTATAATAATTTCTTTTAGCTGCATATTTATGATCACTTTTGTTTCTAATCTAAAATAAAACATGTTTAAGTAATGTAATGTTTTAAAATGTTAAAAAAATATTTAAAACTTTTAAAAATATTGTATATTTTTGTTTATAGCCGTGCTTAAAAGTAAAGAACTGATTCGTTTTGTATCAAAACGAATTTTGTTACAAAAATTTTTTAAAATTGACTTCGCTGTTTTTTCCCTGTACCCTTCAAATAACAATGATTTTTGAAATTTTGTATAATTATTAGCAACCAAAATTATAAATATTTATATACGTTGCGGTAAAGAAGTCTTTTTCTTGGTTTTCTTAAACAAAGCATACAAATCTTTTAAAATATAAACTACAAATTATCAATTACACACATTTTTTGAACTTAAATAAATGTCTAATACTTGATTATATAATGGTTTGGTGAACAAAATCAATTGATAAATAGTCGTTATAATAATTTCTTTTAGCTGCATATTTATGGTCAGTTGTGTTTTTTTTTTAAATGTTGCGTGATGTTACTGCCTTTAAAATGTTGACAAGGAGATAACTAGTTTTGCACCCTTAGATACTAGTGATTATAAAATACAAATAATTAGAGTTTAAATAACAGTCATTTTTGGAATTTTGTATAAATATTAACCACAGAAATATAAGCATTTATAATTTCATTACTCAGTACTACTCATTTTTTTTCCAGATGCTGAAAGGGACCCAAGTGAGTTATTTTCATTGTTAAACACCAAAAATAAGTCTACGACGCTTTCCAAAGCATACACTGAGTAATTTGTACATATTTGGAATTTTGTATCAATATTAATCACCGAAATATAAGCACTTATAATTTCATTACTCAATACTATCCATTTTTTTCCAGCGGCTCAAGTGAAACCATGTAAGTTATTTTCATTAGTTAACACCAAAAATAAGTCTACAAAGCTTTCCAAAGCATACAATGAGTAATTTGTACATTTGGGAATTATGTTTAAATATTAACCAACTAAGTATTACAATATCCTTTTAGAGTATACAAGGTATTATTGGTCGGTAATGATCATACAGCTAAAAAACATAATTTTGTTTCCGAAATTATACAAGTGTACAAATAACTCGAATTTCATAGTTCTAGAATTTTTTATAAATATTAAACACCTAAGTATATCAAAATCCTTTTGATTTTCAGGGACAGATGGATCTTGGGGTGTTTTAAGACGTAAGTTATTTCCTTTGTTTTACTAAAAAAATCCCATAAATATTTCCAAAGCATACAATTGAGTAATTCTATACAATAATATTTTTGAACGAATTATCAATTAGGTGTATATTTTTAACCATAAAATACCGATAAAACTATTTACTACTTGAACAATATTAATGCTTCGTCCTTAAGTATACAGTAGTCTGGTAACACAAAGTCGATTAAGTCATTATAATTATTTTCTTTATTTACAAATTTAGAATCACTTTTATTTATTAACAAATGTTACGTTATGTGTACGAATTAACAGTTTCAACAGTTGGGTGTATATTAATAACAATAATTTTTTGAAATATATTGTCTAAAATGCGTTTTTGAAAAAAATGTTTCATAAATATTAACCACCAAAATATAACCATTAATAATTTGAATAACAACTACTAGCATTTTGTTTTACAGCTGCGTATCAACTACCAGAGTGTGAGTTATTTTCATTGTTTTAGTAAAAAAAGCCAAAAAAAGTCTTTCCAAAGCATACACTGAGTAATTTGAAAGAATATTATTTTTTAACGAACTATTAGTAAGGTACGAAGCCGGGTATACGAGCAGCTAGTATATATTTATATTTTTTTTTTCAATATTAGATCACAAAAAGTCATCCAAAATAGCACATCCACTACCAACTCCGGAACAAGGACAAGGTTAGAATATGTTATTAGACTTAGAGTTAACCTATACTTTTGACAAATTATGTTGACTTAAGCACATTAAGTTATTTTTACTGATTATAAATTATACAGTTTATCCTTGCCAACAAAACGAGAGTTAATAACTTACTAAAAATTTACCCTGTACACTGTAATGTACAACAGAATGATCCTAAGTAGATATTCATATATGTTTTTAAATTGCAGAATTTTTAAGAAGACAACAGTATTAGCAACACCAGCCGCGCAATTGCCGAACAGTCAGATTATGTATAAAGCATATTCTTAATTCTTTTAAAATTAGCGCTTCACGCAATATATGTACACTTTTATTAGAATAAAATAAAATCAAAAACTGTGTCTATGCAAATAATTAATAAATCATTCCACTATAAACAAAAAAAAAAAAGAGTATTAATTTTTTTTGTAATCAACACAACCTAACTTGACCATATTGCAAAATAAAAATTATTATTTAAGAAAAATAAATGATTTTTTGATCTTAAGAGGACGCGTCATACCCTTTGAAAATATTTGTAAAGATTTGTTTATGGAAAAGAGTGTAGTCCAAAGCGAAATGGTCATAGAAAACATATTTTTATATCGTTAAAAAGAAAAAACTTTAACTAAATTCGCTCGTTGGAGTTTTTGAGAAAACATAAATTCTTTTTTAATTACACGAGTTTAAAAAAGTAAAAAAAATGTCTAATAATATGCGTAGTTTTGTTTAGATGACATATTTTCTTTGAATTTAACTTTATTCGGACCCAACGCTGCTTATTGTGCTTACTGCACATATAAAGTACATCATGAACAAATTCCATTGCACGCATACGTCATGTATACAGTCTTTACCTTGAAAACTATTTACAAAATTGTCTGTGACAGCGTTTTCGACACAAATGATGTTTCCAATAATAAGAAAAAAATCTATTCAAAGCCTTGAAACGTCAACGTTCTTAACGGCGTGGCCAACCGAAATTTTCGGTGAAATTACATCAATAGATTGGTATATTACCGAGTCGTATATTTATAGGTAAAGTTTGCTAAATTACCACTTTACCTAAATCTAAATATTTAATTCGTTTGGCTACAGGTATCCAAGTTAATGGAAAATAAAACAGCCACCTTACAAAGTAATTGCAGAACGTCGACTGCTTACATTTACCAAATTAATTAGATTGGTAAAAACATTTTAAGTTGCAAACGCCATTGGTGCTGAATTGATCTGACCTATTGCTATACCTATACCCAACTGGCACCTACATGTTATGCTAACTGCAGGCTTTTTTTAATATGTAAATAATTATTCTAGAAACCATAAAATTAAGTACAAGCATTCTAGTTATAATGTAAAAAAAACAGTTACCCAGCATTCAAATGTAAAAAGAAATATCAAACCTCAAGTTTTTACTACTTAATTTATTTATTTTGTCTTTTTTATGTTTCATTGTATATTTTATTCAGATTTTATTCTTCAACTACATTTATTTGCAAAATAGTGATTCGATGAATAAGCTTTTAATTGAAAAACCGGGCCTAAATTAAAAATATTTTTTCCGGATTATCTATTTTTTTATTTATATTCTTTTACTGATGGGAATTATGAAAACCATTTTGTTTTTTATTAACACGCTTATATTAGCTTCACTTGTATGTATGTAATTTTGTAACGTACATGCGTGTATTCGTTGTTGTTTACCTGAAGTTTTCAAGTAATAGAGACACGTATGTACTAGAATTAAAAAACACGATTTTAAAGCACATCGAACTAAAAAAGTGGAAAATAAATACAGTTTAAAAAAACTAAAAAACACGCTTAAATAGTAAAAAAAATATATAGTTTAAAAAAACTAAAAAGTAGAAAATAATTTTCAATATAGAAATCAATTAATAAAAATTTTCAATATAGAAATCAATTAATAAAAAATAAATAGTATTATTGTGAAAAAAGCGTGGGGCGCTTTTCAAGAACTGATATATGTAGCACCCCACGCTTTTTTCACAATAATACTATGTATTTTTTATTAATTGATTTCTATACTGAAAATTTTTATTAATTGATTTCTATATTGGAAATCATTTTCTACTTTTTAGTTTTTTTACTATTTAAGCGTGTTTTTAGTTTTTTTAAATTATATTTTTTTTTTACTATTTATTTCATATTAAATTACCGCTTAGTTAAGGTGTAAAGTATTCTATATCTATCATAAATTTACTATTAAAAAAATATAACACCGTTGTACGATATTGAAAACAACATATTATGGTTCGATCTGTAAACATTACCCGCCAACTGTTGTGTATATCAGTAAAATCGTATATAGCATACAAATAAAAAAACCAAACCGATTATTTTACTTTAAAGCGTGTATACCTTACACATTAATCAACTGATAATCTAATATAAAAAAATCAAAATGTGTTTTCATAATTCCTATCAAGAATAGAACATAAACGAAAAAAAAAATAATACGTAATAAATATTTTTAATTTATAACAATCAAATTAGCATCAAAGCGTTTATGTAAATGGCATTTCATCCAAAAGGACTAGTACAGTAGGGTGAGGGCATAATGGAATCAAAGCATAGAGGGGACAGAGAGGTCACAGGATTATAGAAATTATTTTTAATAAAAATAATAAAAGCGAGTAAAAATGTTTTCTTTATTTTGGTTTTTGAAGTGTAGTAAAGCACCAAAGTCGGAAAATAAATTTTAAAAGAACATATGCTGTGACCCTACTACAATAACCTGGTTCGATCAGTAAAAAATACCGACCAATTGTTGTATACATACATGTGTAATATATCATGTTTTTCAAATCGCGTTATAACGATAATACTAAAATCTAAAGTATTTTTTTTTATACTTAAAATATTATTTGTATATGTTTATAAAATTAATATAGATTTTATTAGGAAAAAACTATACTCCAATTATTACGTTATATAACTGGAGAATTGTTTTTTCTAATAAAATCTATATTAATTTTATTATATAGTTTTATAAAGATTATAATGTGATTTGAAAAACATGATTTTACTAATATGCACAACAGTTGGTCGGCAATGTTTACAGATCGAACCATAATATGTTGTTTTCAATATCGTACAATAGTTTTATAATACATTAATTGAAAAATGTGTGCTGCAAATTTACTAAAGATAGAATGCATAATATATTTTAAAGGAATCAAGATTTGAGTCATCTCGTATAATATAATAAACTTTTGTAGTTTGTTCTTTTAAAGTCTTAATTAAAAACCTATACCCTTCCTCCGTTTAAAAATTTAAATAAAATATTTTTCAACTTCAATTCTACGGCTTACTAAGAATTATTGGACAAATAATAGAACAATATAGTTCTTTATTTTTCAGTATTATTTTTGTACCAAGATTCTTTTTAGACATCTGTTTCTTAGTATGTTTTTATTTCAAAACTACAACATATTACCATTTACCATCTGAATTTTTTTGTAAATCCAAGTTTCGAATGACGCACTTCTAGTTCGATTATGTTTTCAAATGTTGATGAATATTTTTAGTGCAATTTGTACAAACAAAAAACAACTTACAAAACATGTAGTTTTTAGTATTTTCAAAACACTACACAGCTAAAATAAGAAGAAAAAAATATTTTGTACCTAATAGTATTCCAGTTACATCCAAAGGCAAACGACAGTTATTTTTCATATAAAATAAAAATGCGTTTTTTGTACGTTGTATTGTTGCTCGTAGCAGTTTTAACGAAGTTCTCAGGTATTTCAATAAACTTAAATTTTAGGAATTTCATATAAATATTAACCACCTAAATATAACAAAATTGTTTTGTTTTATAGTGGCGCCTGGGTCTAAGTCTGAATATGAGTCTGAATCTGACTCTGATTCTCAATATGACACTGACCCTGAATATATGGCTGAATCTGAGGAAGAGAATAGATCCCCGAATAGAAAACGTAAGTTGTTTTCTTTGTTTACTAAAAAAAATATACAAATCATTCTAAAGCGTTAGCTGAGTAATTTAAAAATATATTGTTTTTGAAAGAACTATTAATAAGATACTTATCATACAGCTAGAACTATAATTTTGTTCCGATATTGTACAAGTGTACACATAACTCGAATTTCATAGTTCTAGAATTTTGTATAAATATTAACAACCTAAATATAACAAAATCCTTTTGTTTTTCAGCGGGAAATGGGTATTGGGCAAGTAGAAGACGTAAGTTTTTTTGCTTTACTAAAAAAATCATACAAATTTGTTCAAAGCATACACTTGAGTATATTTATAGAATATTATTTTTTCACTAATTATCAATTATGTACATATTTTTTAACCATAGATAACAGATTATAGTATTTATAATATGAACAATATTAATGCCTCGTCCTTAAGTATACAGTAGTCTGGTGAACAAAGTCGATTTAGTCATAATGATTTCCTTTATTTGCATATTTAAGATGACTTTTTAAGATCGCCAACAATAATACTTACTTACATTGTTGTGGTGCTAGTAGAATTGTTAACGCACTCGGGTGTATATAAATAACAATAATTTTTGATATTTTTTATAAATACTAGCCACCAAAATACAACAATTTCATTACTCACCATTAACTTTTTTTTTATAGCTGCGTATGAACTAAAAGAACTACCACAGAGTAAGTTATTTTCATTGTTTTACTAAAAAAAGCATACAAATCAGTTTTGAGTTGTTAGATACCAAACAAACTAGAGGAGTTTATATGAAGGGTACAAGGAAAAAAACAGAGAGTACAAGCAAATTTCCTTTATATACCATTATATAATAAAGTATTATATAATAGTTTGGTGAACAAAATCAATTGATAAATAGTCATTATAATAATTTCTTTTAGCTGCATATTTATGATCACTTTTGTTTATTTAAAAAATGTTGCGTGATGTTACTGCCTTAAAAAAGTTGACAAGGAGATAACTAGTTTTGCATCATTAGATACTAGTGATTATAAAATAAAAAATAATTAGAGTTTAAATAACAGTCATTTTTGGAATTTTGTATAAATATTAACCACAGAAATATAAGCATTTATAATTTCATTACTCAGTACTACTCATTTTTTTTTCCAGATGCTGTATGGGACCCAAGTGAGTTATTTTCATTGTTAAACACCAAAAATAAGTCTACGACGCTTTCCAAAGCATACACTGAGTAATTTGTACATATGTGGAATTTTCATAGTTCTAGAATATTTTTATAAACATTAACCACCTAAGTATATCAAAATCCTTTTGTTTTTCAGGGATAGATGAATCTCGGGGTGTTTTAAGAAGTAAGTTATTTCCTTTGTTTTACTAAAAAAATCCCATAAATATTTCCAAAGTATACAATTGAGT